TCCCATATGTAGGTTTGGTTTGCATAATTTAAACTTCCCCACTGACAGCCAGGGCAGGAATGCCAGGGCTTTCTTATTGCCCAATATGGAGCCAGAGTGAGGAATGGGGTTTGAAAGCTGTCAATGGTCAAACATCAAAAATGGATGCAGACTTCTTTATTACATTTATTTACATTTAAGTGTTCAGTTGTTCATTAAGAGCATATAAAAAATACAGTTGACTTCTGTGTGTTTAACTTGTACCTTATGACTGTGCTAAATCCACTTATTCCAGTAGCTTTTTAAAAGAATTCCTTGGGCCGAAACCGGTTTGGCTCAGTGGATGGAGCGTCGGCCTGCGGACTGAAAGGTCCCGAGTTCGATTCCGGTCAAGGGCATGTACCTGGGTTGCGGGCACATCCCCAGTGGGAGATGTGCAGGAAGCAGCTGGTCGATGTTTCTCTCTCATCGATGTTTCTAACTCTTTATCTCTCTCTCCCTTCCTCTCTGTAAAAAATCAATAAAATATATTTAAAAAAAAAAAAAAAGAATTCCTTGGGAATTTCTATGTAGATAATCATGTCTACAGATAAGGACATTTATAATTCTTTCCAATCAGTATGCTTTTTATTTTAACTAACTAATTACTTAAATTAAATTCCTAGTTTAGGACCTTCATACAAGGTTGAATAAAAGTGGTGAAAATGAACATTCTTGCCTTGTTCCTGATCTCAAGGGGAAAGCTTTCAGTCTTTCACCATTTAGTACAGTTAGCTATAGGTATTTTTAGATGCCCTTTATCAGGAAGTTCTCTTTCATTCCTTAAGTAACACAAAGATTTTATAGATTTTTGAATATTGCTAAATGATTTATGCATTAATTAAGATGTGTTTTTTCTTTTTTAGATTAATAGCCTATATAATCCTATATAATAAAAGCCTAATATGCTAAGTGCCCGGTTGTACAGTCAGCTGTTCAACCAATCAAAGCATAATATGCTAATGATATGCTAAGGCTGCTCAACTGCTTGCTATGATGTGCACTGACTACCAGGGGGCAGACAATCAGCTGGCTGACCAGTCGCTATGACGTGCACTGACCACCAGGGGGCAGATGCTTCGACTGGTAGGTTAGCTTGCTGCTGGGGTCTGGCCAATTGGGACTGAGCGAGTTGGGCCAGACATGCCCTGGAGCCCTCCCACGTCCCTCCCTGGCCCCAGTCGTGCACCAGTGGGGTCCCTCAGCCTGGCCTGCTCCCTCTCCCAATCTAGGATCCTTTGGGGGATGTCGGAGAGCCGGTTTTGGCCCAGTCCCGCAGGCCAGGCCGATAGACCCCAGGGCCTCTAGTGATGAAATACAAAGATTGATTGTCAAATGTTGAACCAACCTTGCATTCCTGGGATAAACTCCAGTGGGTTACAATGCATGCTTTTTGTATGTTGCTGGATATTATTTGCTAAAACTTTGTTAAAGAGATTTGCATCTTTGTTCATGATGGATATTAGTCTGTGGTTTCCTTTTCTTGTGAAAGCTTTGTCTAGTTTGGTAACAAGATAATGCTGCATTTATTGAGTGAGTTGGGGAGTGTTCTCTACTATTCTGTTTTCTATAAAATTTGTATTATTCCATCTTTAGTGTGTGATAAATTTTACCAATGAAGTTCAGAGTTTTCTTTGTGGGAAGTATTTAAATTATGAACGCTATTTTTTTAAGAGATGTTTATAGCTAATTAGGTTATATAGTTTTTCTTGAGTGAGCTTTGATAATCTATCTTTCAAGAAATGTATGCATATTATCTTATTTATCAAATTTATTGGGGTAAAGTTGTCATAATATTTCTTATTCTGTAGAATATGGAATAATATCCTCTCTGTCATTGCTGATGCTGGTAATTTGTGTTATCTCTCTTCTTTGGAAAGGGATTTATTAATTTTATTGTTTTAAAGAACAATAGTTTGGTTTTATTAAGTTTTCATTTTTAAATTTGTTTTCAATTTTGTTGATTTCTGCCATTATGTTTATTACTTTCTTCTAATTACTGTGAGATTGACTTTATTTTTTCTAATTACTTAAAGATAAAAATATAGATCATCAATTTGAGTTCTGACTTACTAATATAAGCATTTTAATGCTATATATTTCCCTCAAAGCATTGCATTCCCTGCATTCAACATTTTGGTCTGCTGTGTTTTCATTTTCACTCAGTTCAAAAATTTGCACTCTGGCCAGTGTGGCTCCGTTGTTTGGAGGGTTGTCTCTTACACCAAAAGGTGGCAGGTTTAATCCTGGTCAGGGCACATACTCAGTTGTGGGTTTGATCCCTGGTCAGGCGTGTGCAGGAGGCAACCAATCGATGTCTCTCTCTCTCCCTCTCTCCCTTTCTCTCTCTAAAATTTTTATTTTTTAAATAGAGATAATCAGTTGCTTAAAAAAATCTAGCTAATGTTGAAAAAAACATAAAAATTTGTTAATTTCTTTAGTGATTTCTTCCTTGACTCAGGTTATTTACAAGTGTATTTAAATTTTACTATTTAGGGATTTTTAGAAATATTTGTATTATTTATTTCTAAATCAAATATTTGGTGGTCAGAGAAAACACTTTGTTTCATTTCAATTCTTTTAAATTTGTTGAGATTTGTATTATGGCCCAGAATAAGGACAGATTGGTGATATACATTTGCACTAAACATGTATTCTGCTGTAGTTCAGTAATAACTGTTGATTAGTTGTCAGATTAGTTCATAATGCTGTTCATATCTTCTATATTCTTACTGATTTTTTCATCTAGATGGGTTTTTTAAAAAGACATTTATTCGGCATCATGATCAGACTATTACATTTAGCAATCAACAACATGGGTACAAAAATTCTACATTAAAACCCTTTGTTGGAATGCTTTACATTTCCCACAGAGCGAAAACAGAAATAACCGGTTATACAATTAGTCACAAATAAAGTCCTCGAGTTTTTTGTTCATACACTTCAGTATTGTCTAAAACATGTCTTCTTTGTAGCTGCTTGGTCCTATCACCACTGTGCTTGGCTGAGTTCACAAATCTATTGTAACCTGTAGTTTCCCTGTCACTTTTCTCGCTCTGCTCTCTTACTAAGCTTTGTTTCCTGGCGGTAATTAAAACCTTCTGCCACTGCCTTAGCTACTGCTGCTGCTGGAACCACCATAGCCACCTTGGTTTCAGTTTGGCAAAGTATTGGTCTCCACCACCACAGAACTTCTCTGCCTCCAAAATTTTCTCCTTCCATGGATCCAAAACTTGAAGATGGGCTGTTGTAATTGCCAAAATCATTGTAGCTTCCACCATGTCCAGAATTGCTTCCATCATTACCAAAGCCATGATAGCCATCCCCACTGCCACCAACCATCTCCACCACCACCACAGCTGCCACCAAAGCCACCTCCACCACGAAAGTTTCCTCCACGATCAAGGTTGTCATGCCCACCAAAACCATCTCCGTGACCACCTTCGAAGTTTCCAGAACCATTTCAGCCTCTTTGGCTGGACGACGCACTAGCCATCTCTGGCTTAGACAGGGCTCTCCTTACTTCACAGTGGTGGCCATTCACAGTAGGGTATTTCTGAATGACAATTTTGTCTACAGAGTCACGGTCATCAAAGGTTACAAAAGCAAAGCCTTTCTTCTTGTCACTGCCTCAGTCAGTCATGATTTCAATCACTTCAATTTTCCCTTACTGTTCAAAATAATCTCTTAAGTGATGTTCTTGTCTTCTTTAATACCACTCTTAATCTTTTCCACAGTTAAGTGGGCACCAGGTCTTTGAGAATCTCCTCTTAAGACAGCCCTCTTTGGTTCCACAGCTCTTCCGTCCACCTTGCGTGGCCTTGCATTCGTGGCTGCACCCACCTCCTCCGCAGTGGCACACGTACAAACCCAAAGCTCTGGATGCTTGGTGTTTAGATCTCTCCTCACCACGGTCTGTGAGTGGTCCCCATTGCTGAATATGGCTCCTCAGATTCTCACGGGTTGTTTCAAAGCTCAAACCTCCAATAAAGAGCTTCTGCAGCTGTTCGGACTCCTTGGGAGACTGTGACTTAGATATGATAGGGATACTTTAAGGATGCTTATTACTTACTCGGCAGTGTCCACCAGCAGAAAGGAGTGATCTAATGAACATATCACTCGATGTTTTATCTATTAATATGAGGGGAGTATTGAAGTCTCCAAGTGTAATTATGTATTTATTCATTTCTCCCTTCATTGCTATCTAATTTTTGCTTCATGATTTTGGAGTTCTATTGTACACATACACATTTAGAAGAGTTTTGCCTTAGGATAAATTGTCTCCTTTATCATTTTTAGATGTCTTCTAAACCCTGCTAATATTCTTTGTACTGAAGTCTAGAGCTAATATTGTCACTTTAACTCTTATTTGTGTAGTGCTTATGTGGTGCATCTTTTTTCAACTTTCATATTTATTACATGTCTTTTTAAGTGGGTTTTGTGTGTGTGTGTGCATAACATATATTTGAGTCTTGCTTTTTAAAATCTCATTTGACAGTCTCTGCACTTTACTTGGAATATTTAGATTATTTCCACTTAATGCAGTTATTGATATGGTTGGATTTAAATCTACCATTTTATTATTGGTTCTTTATTTATCTCTTTTTAGTTTATTCTGCCATTATTTTTTTTAGTTCAGGTGTACAGCATAGTGGCTAGACAATTATATACTTTACAAAGTGTTCCCCTGATATTTCTACTCATCTGGCATCATATATAGTTATTACAGTATTATTGACTACATTCCCTATGCTGTACTTCACATCCCCATGACTATTTTATTACTATCAATCTGAATTTCTCAAACCCTTCACCTTTTTCATGCAGTTCCATACTCCCCCCTCCCCTCTGGCAACCATCAATCTGGTCTCTGTATCTATGAGTCTGTTTCTGTTTTGGTTCATTTATATTGTCCTTTAGATTTTATATAAAAGTGAAATAATATGGTATTTGTCTTTCTCTGACTGATTTATTTCCCTTAGCATAATACTCTCTAGGTCCATCCATGCTGTCGCAAATGGTAAGATTTCATTCTTTTTTATGGCTGAGTAATATTCCAGTGTGTGTGTGTGTGTGTGTGTGTGTGTGTGTCACAATTCTTTTATCCACTCCTCTATTGATGGGCACTTGGGTTGCTTCCATATCTTGGCTATTGTAAATAACCTACTGCAATGAACCATAAGGGTGCATAAATTCTTTCAAATTAGTGTTTTGGGTTTCTTTGGATATATGTCCAGAAGTTGAATCGCTGGATCATAAGGCAGTTTTAATTTTTTGAGGAAATTTCCTACTGTGTCCCATAGTGGCTGCACCAATCTGCATTCCCACCTGTAGTGCACAAGGGTTCCCATTTCTCCACATCCTCTCCAACACTTGTTTGTTGATGTATTGATGGTGGCTATTCTGACAGGTGTGAGGTGCTATCTCATTGTGGTTTTAATTTGCATCTCTCTGATGATGAGTGACATTGAGCATCTTTTCATATGTCTACTAGACATCTGTATGTCCTCTTTGGAGAAGCATCTATTCAGGTCCTTTGCGCATATTTTAATTGGATTTTAGTTGTATGAGTTCTTTATACGTTTTGCATATTAATCCCTTAACAGATGTATCGTTGGCAAATATGTTCTCCCATTCAGTGGGTTGTCTTATCATTTTGTTGACGATTTCCTTTACTGTTCAAAAACTTTTTAGTTTGATATAGTCCCACTTGTTTATTTTTTTTCTTCTCTTTCCTTGCTGGGGAGATATATCAGAAAAAAAAATTACAAGAGAAATGTCAGAGATTTTACTGCCTATGTTTTCTGGTTTCAAGTCTTATATTTAAGTCTTTAATCCATTTTGAGTTTATTCTTGTATATGGTGTAAGAAGGTGGTCTAGTTTTATTTTTTGCCTGTTGCTGTCCAATTTTTGTAACACCATTTATTGAATAGACGGTCTTTTCCCCATTGTACGTTCTTACCTACTTTGTCAAATATTAATTGGCCATGTAAGTGTGGGTTTATTTCAGGGCTCTCTGTTCTGTTCCATTGAGCTATGTGTCTGTTTTTATGCCAGTACCATCCTGTTTTGATAACGATATTCTTGTAGTATAGTTTGATATCAGGTAGGGTAATACTTTGTTCTTCTTTCTCAAGATTGCTGTGGCTATTTGGGGTCTTTTGTGGTTCTGTATAAGTTTTTGGATTATTTATTCTAGTTCTATGAAATATGCCATTATTTTGATAGGAATTGCATTGAATCCATAGATTGCTTTGGGTAGTTATGAACATTTTAATGATGGCAATTCTTCCTATCCATGAGCACAAGTATATGCTTCCATTTACTTATATCTTCTTCAGTTTCTTCAGTGTCTTATAATTTTCTTATTCTTAGGTATTTTTATTTGTTTTAAAATATATTTTTATTGACTTCAGAGAGGAAGGGAGAGGGAGAGAGAGAAACATCAATGATGAGGAAGAATCATTGATCAGCTGCCTCCCGCATGCTCCCCACTGGGAATCGAGCCATGTGTCCTTCATTAGAATCAAACCTGGGACCCTTCAGTCTGCAGGCTGATGCTCTATCCACTGAGCCAAACTAGCTAGGGCTATTCTTAGGTATTTTTTTTAAATACAATTATACTAGTAAATGGAATTTTTATTTTATTTTTTTTTAGTTTCCCTTTCTGATAGTTCATTATTGGTATATAAAAGTGCAACTGATTTCTGGATATTAATTTTGTAACCTGCTACTTTACTGAATTTATCAGTTCTGGTAGTTTTTTTTTTAAATGGAATCTTTAGGGTTATCTTTATACCGTATCATGTCATCTGCAAATAATGACAATTTTACTTCTTCCTTGCCAATTTGGATACCTTTTATTTCTTCTTCTTGACTGCTGTGGCTAGGACTTCCAGTACCATATTGAATAAGAATGGTGAAAGCAGATACCCCTGTCTTATTCCTGATCTTAAGGGAAACACTTTTAGTTTTTTGTGCATTGAGTATGATGTAAGCTGTGGGTTTGTCATATATGGGCTTTATTATATTGAGATATGTTCCCTATATTCCTACTTTGTTGAGTGTTTTTATCATAAATGGGTGCTGGATTTTGTCAGATGCTTTTTCTGCATATATTGATATGATCATATGCTTTTTATCCTTAATTTTGTTTATGTGATGTCACATGTTAATTGATTTGTGGACATTGTACCAACCTTGCATCCCAGGAATAAATCCCACTTGATCATAATGATTTTTTTTTTAATCCTCACCCGAGGCTATTTTTCCATTGATTTTTAGAGGGAGGGAAAGGCAGAAATATTGATGTTAGAGAAACACATTGTTTGGTTGCATTCCACACGAACCCTGACTAGGCCAGGGCTGGGGAGGGGCCTGCAACCAAGGTACGTGCCCTTGACCGGAATTGAGCCTGGGACCAAGGGTCCACAGGTTGACTCTCTATCCATTGAGCCAAACTGGCACGGGCTGATCTTTTTAATGTGTTGCTACATGTAGTTTGCTAATATTTTATTAGGATTTTTGCATCTATGTTCATCAGGGATATTGGCCTATAATTTTCTTTCTTTGTAGTGTCTTCATCTGGTTTTGGAATTAGGATGACACTGGCCTCACAAAATGAGCTTGGAAGTCTTCGCTCCTCTTGATTTTTGGAATAGTTTGAGAAGGATTGGTGTTAGTTCTTTTTTGAATGTTTGATAAAATTCACCTGGAAAAGGGCATGCCTTTTACCCTATCAGGTCATTAGTGTGGAGAGCTGAGTTAACCTAGTGGTAGGTTGAGCTGCCGCCACCTGGGGCTAGTATGGGGCCTGGAGCGCTGGAAGGTTCTTCTCAGTGCTCCTGCTTCAGACATGGCTTTCAGGAGGCCCTGGTGCCCCTTCCTCTGTGCCTGCAGGAGGGGGCAGTGGGAGTAGGCCCCTTTCTCTGCACTCTACCTCGTAGCCTGCCTCCAGTGGTAGGCCACCGCTGGTACTTGGTACAGCCTCCTGGAGGGGCAGGGGCATTTATCAGGGTTTTCTTGAGGTTTCTCAATGCTCCTGTGGCAGCCCTAGTCTCGGGCAGGCTTTTTGTGCCCTGGCCTCATGGCTGGGGCTTTCTCAGAAGTTCTTGTGTCAAAGAGTTCTTGGTGGGCTACCTGGTTCTTTTTACCTCTGCACTGAGCATGCTGGGAAAGGAACCTGCAAAAGCTACTGACATGTTTTGTTTGTTAGAACTTTAGCATTCTCCAGAGTGATCTTTGAAAATAGTCGCTCTGATCCCACCTCAGTGAAAAGCTGTCTAGTGTATGCCATGTAACCTCAGGTCAAAGGCTTTCAGCTCTACAGTCTAGAGCCCTTCACTCCGACTTTCTATCTGCTACTTATTTAAGTCTTATCTGTCTCCCTGGCCCCAGACCATCAGTTTTGAGGGCAGGTATCTTGTTCTCTGTGTATTGCTAGTGATGAAATGGCTCAGCAACTGTCTTGAAAGGATGAGGAATGAGTGGAAGCTGGGAAAGCCCTTACCTCCCCTGCTCTCCAGCAGACAGACTCCTGCCCAGCTACAGGTTCATGCACAGGTGTCACAGAGAAGCCTTTCTGGGGGCTCCCCAGGTTTGGGGACAGGCCTCTCTCCTGTGCCCCAGCCCTAGCACAGACCTTGCAGTACTGATAGAACTGTGTGCACCTCTGCTTCCTCCTCCTGGGTCCCCAGGGCAGGGCTATGCTAGCCAGGCCTGTCCCTCCCAGCCCTGGGCAGACTACTTGGCGAGCCTGCGGAGGCCCTGTGCTGCACCATCTGCATGCTGCATTAAAACATTTAAGGCCTGTTTTTCTATTTTAGGAAAAGCGAACCCTCTGTGGATATAAGAGAACTTGGACTGGAAGCATGTGGTGTGTCCTGCGCGGCTGGAGGCGAGTGCACCTGAGCCCTTGGGGAGTGCAGGGGCAGCAGTGGCCCCCGGCCTTCCGTGCTCTGGCCAGTGTGGCCTCCGGGAGTGGAAATGAGTACAGCCACGTGGTGGTGGGTGCGGGCTCCGCGGGCTGCGTGCTGGCTGGACGGCTCACCGAGGACCCTGATAAGCATGTGCTGCTGTTGGAGGCCGGGCCCAAGGACACGCATGCGGGGAGCAAGCGGCTCTTGTGGAAGATCCACATGCCCGCGGCCCTCGTGGCCAACCTGTGCGATGACAAGTACAACTGGTACTACCACACCGAGCCGCAGGCAGGCATGGACGGCCGCGTGATGTACTGGCCTCGCGGCCGGGTGTGGGGAGGCTCCTCGTCCCTCAACGCCATGGTCTACATTCGCGGGCACGCCGAGGACTATGACCGCTGGCACCGCCAGGGCGCCACGGACTGGGACTACGCTCACTGCCTGCCCTACTTCCGCAAGGCGCAGTGCCACGAGCTGGGTGCCAGCCGGTACCGCGGTGACCAGGGCCCCCTGCATGTGTCGCGGGGTAAGACCAACCACCCGTTGCACCGGGCATTCCTGGAGGCGGCACAGCAGGCCGGCTACCCCTTCACCGAGGACATGAACGGCTTTCAGCAGGAAGGCTTCGGCTGGATGGACATGACCATCCACAAAGGTAGCGTAAGGTGCCCACCCCCATCTCCCTGGTTCTTCCTTGAAGTAAAAAAATGTACTATTACAGCCCCTCCCTCCTGCTCGCGTCATGGTCAGTAAGAGTGGACACCTGGGGCTGGTCTGAGCTGGAGGGGACGTGACACCGTGGGTCTCTGGCCCCTGAGGGTGTGGATAATGGAGTCAGCTCTCTGGCCAAACAGAGACTTACAGATGGGGAAGCAGGCACAGGACACCCAGAGGGCCCAGGACAGGGGCTTTTGGTCTCAGCCGTACTTGGAAGGCAGAGCTTACACAGTCAGGGAAAGACAAATTCCCCCTTTCTCCAGCCCCTTCCCACTCCCCCCCTGGGCAGGGGCGAGGGGCTGTGCCTGAAATCCTCGCTCTGTCCTGCAGGCAAACGCTGGAGCGCAGCCTGTGCGTACCTGCACCCAGCACTGAGCCGCCCCAACCTCACCGCCGAGGCCCGGACGTTTGTGAGCAGGGTGCTGTTTGAAGGCAGCCGCGCAGTGGGCGTGGAGTACATCAAGAACGGCCAGAGCCACAGGGTGAGCCAGGCACCCCCAGGCCTAGGCAGCTCATGGCGGGCGGGAATGGGCAGTCGTCATGCTCTCGTCTCCATCGCCACTGTGGTGGGGAGTGGGCAGCGGGTGGCAATGGCCTGAAAGGTTGTTCGCAGGGCTTAGCTGGGGGTGGAGGCCAGTTTAGGCACCTGCAGAGCCTGTTGTGCCCCGATAAGCGCCCCTGTGAGCCTGTCTGCTGCTCCCCACCTCGGCGCTGTCCCCGGGACCTTCCACACCTTTTCGGAAGTTGATAGGTTTTAAGAACCGTCACTGTGCTCATACTCCATATTTCTGCACTGTGCTTTTTCCCTTAGCAGTGTGCCAGGATGTCCTGCATCCCACTGCTCGCTTTATGGAAACCGCTCATTCGAGTGCGGTTTCTCATTTAAGTCCCAAGGTCCTGTTTTTAAGACCATCATTACGAACTGGCAGTCGCTGAATATTTCAGAGTATAATCATGATTTATTTATTTATTTGTGCCTGCGAGAGCCGAACATGTGGGGAGCTTTCACACAGCACCCTGGGCATCCTCTTCCCTCTTCCCACGCCGAGGCCACGTTCTCGGGTTCTGTCTGCCTTTGGGAAGGGAAGTGTGACCTGCTGGGCCCGCTGCCTCTTCCAGGCTTATGCCAGCAAGGAGGTGATTCTGAGTGGAGGTGCCATCAACTCCCCGCAGCTGCTCATGCTTTCTGGCGTCGGCAACGCAGACGACCTCAAGAAGCTGGGCATCCCCGTGGTGTGCCACCTTCCGGGTGAGTTTCCTCCTCCACTGCTCCTGGAGGGTGTCTCTGCTAAACAGAACGGTTTATTGTATTTTATTAGTATGGACTGGGGAGGGGACAGGAGTCGGTGCTTTTCAGAACTGTCCCACTTCTCATGGGCCTGAAGGTCCCCTGGGACCCCAAGTCTTTGGGTTGCTCTCCTCCCGTCCCTGGCCATCCTATCCCACTGAGAGGCGAGGCCCTGTGGCAGGGAGCATCTGCCCGTAAAGCCTCCTGGGCCAGGCTCCGCAGGTCACCAGGGCAGCTCTGTGCTGAGGGGTCCAGGCCTCTCTGCTTTCCATCCCCAGTCCTCCCCACTTGCTCTGATGTTAAAGATGCTAACTCAGTGCTCCTGGGTATGCTTCTCACATGAAGACAGTTCTCCAGGCCTGAAATTTATTTTACAAACTGTCTTTGATGCCCTTTGGGGCCTGTCCCTTTTGCCCTCTCTTATAACCCAAGCTCCCAGAGGCCTGGCCGTTCTGCATTGAGGCTTCCTCCTAAGGGGTCTGTGCAAGTGCTGGGCCATGACAGTGACCTGCCCAGCATCCCCTGGAGCTCCCGTCTGCACAGCATGAGGGGGCCTGCTTCCCCCGGCCAGGGGTGAGGCTGGGGCTGTTCAGTGACAGCTTCCTGAGCAGTACCTGCTGCACACGTGGGCCCTGCCCTCAGGGAGGGTGCTGCTTGGCAGGAAGGCAACTGGATGGGTGGCTTTGGCAACATCTGAGAGGGCTGGACTTGGCCAGGAGTGCAGAATGGTGTCCCTGGGAGGTGACCCGGCGCCCGAGCAGGAACTGGCCTGCAGATAAATAGGGGAGAAGTTTTCAAAACCAGGGGGATGTTGAGAGGTCAGCTAAGCTCCCCTTGGTAGCCATTGCTCCTCACCACTCCCTCCTATTTCAGGAGTTGGTCAGAACCTGCAAGACCACCTGGAGATATACATCCAGCAGGCGTGCACCCGTCCCATCACCCTCCACGCAGCGCAGAAGCCCCTGAGGAAGGTCCGGATTGGTCTGGAGTGGCTCTGGAAGTTCACAGGTTGGTAGAGATGGTCTGTGGTCATCATGAGGTGCTGAGCAAGGGCTCTGGCCCCAGATTGCTGGTTTGAAGCTGAGCTCTGCCATTGGCCTCAGCTCTTTGAGCCTCAGCTTTCCCATCTGAAAAATGGGATACACAGTTCCTGCCTGACAGGCTGGTGTGAGGACCAGACTCGGTAGCACAGGGCCTGACCTGGGTGAGACTCCTCAAGGGCTGGGTGCTGCTCTGCCCTGCAGATGGATGGGGATGGCCGTGTGCTGGACACCATGAGGTGGCCAAGGAGCCAGGAGAAAAGGCACTGGGTGCTGGACTATAGAATCAGCACCCATTGCTTAGTTAGAAAACAAATGGAGAAAGTAGAGGAGAACCAAGATGGTGGCTTAGGTAAAGGTGGTACTCGCCGCTCCCACAACCACATCAAAATTACAACTAAAATACAGAACATCACGCAGAACCGCCCGAAAGCTGGCTGAAGGGAAGTCCTACAACTAGAGAAGTAAAGAAAACAGCACAGGGAGGCTGGTAGGAGGGGCGGAGGCACGGAACGGCCGGTCTGACACCCATGTGTGGCACCTTTTTTCAGTTGGGAGGAATAGCTCAGCTGTAGAGGTCTCCCGAGAGGAGCAAGGGGTCCCAGCCCCATACCAGACCCCCAGCCCAGGGTTCCAGAGCTGGGAAGAGAAACCTCTCTAACTTTGGGCTGTAAAAACCAGCGGGGATTGTGGCTGAGTGACAAGGAGGCAATTCCTCTTAAAGGGCCAGCACATGAACTTACACAGACTCGCTCCATCTGAGCTTGGTGCTGGGGCAATGGCTCTGGGGGAGCCAGGGACTTATGGGGAGGAACTGGATTGCCTAGTCTCTGAGCAAGAACTCAGGGGTGCTCGCAGGGGTCACTGTTCCTGTGCTAAGACCTCCCATTGCAGAGCTGACTGGCAGTGATATCTGAGTTTCCATCAGCTTAGCCTACATCGTTTGCTCTGCCCTGGTGATTCCCTGAGACCCAGCCACATCCAATTTGCAGCAGCTTTTCCATATGAATGGCCTGTCCTGGCTCAGGCATCAGACTTTTCTAAAATCTCTCAAGCAAGCAAGAGCTGGTGTCAGCATGCCCAATACCTATCCATAAGAGGCCCAAGACAGTTTGGCCTCACCTGGGCACTTCCGGACCCAACACAAGTGGCGGCCACCTGTAGGTCGCTCTGTGGCTCTTGCAAGGTGGCCCCAGGCAGCGGCTGACTTTGCACCTTTCGGGAGACCCCAGAGCCAGTGCACCCACTGGACAGCTTCAGACCATGCCAGGTTATAACTACACATCCACAAGCAGCACACTCACGGGCACTCGGTGAGCACCCAAGTCCCACTGAAGCAAGTCCTGCTCCATAGGGCTGTCTCCTGCACAGCAGCTCTCCCACTGCAGTCACAGCTGATCCTCACAGCCAATTGGCCAACAGCGATTAAGACTCAACTACAAGGCTAGGTGCACCCCTTGTGGGCTGTGTGCACAAAGTGCCCAGCTCAGGTGACTGGGGAGGCTGAGCCACTGGGCCCTACAGGACACCTATTGGACAAGGCCACTCTGCCAATTCCAGGAGAAGAGTAGCTTTACATAATACATAGAAACAAACACAGGGAAGCCGCCAAAATGCAGAGACAAAGAAACATGTCACAAATAAAAGAACAGAAGAAATCTCCAGAAAAAAAACTAAATGAAATGGAAGCAAGCAAACTACTAGGTACCATCAATCGCATTTATGGGGGCGCTGGAAGCAGAAGAGAGCGAGCAAGATACTGTAACTTATTTGAAGAAATGACAGAAAACTTCCCCTACCTGGTGAAAGTAATAGACTTACAGGTCCAGGAAGTGCAGAGTCCTAACCAAGAGGAACCCAAAGAGGCCCACACCAAGACACATCATAATTAAAATGCCAAGGGTTAAAGACAAAGAGAGAATCTTAAAAGCAGCAAGAGAAAAACAGCAAAAGCAGAAAAAAGATAAAAAATATGATAAAATGGTAATAAATACATATCTTTCAACAATTGAGTCTGAAAAGAAAAATAAATGAACAAAGAATCTAATGAATAAAATAGACTCAGAGGCATGGAAACAGGGAACAGACTGACAAATCTGGGGCGGTGGAGATTAACCAAAGAACTGAATATGCATACATGCATTACCTATAGACACAGACAATAGGGCGGTGAAGGCTTGGGGCAGGGCAGGAACTGGATAGAGGGGAGCAATGGGAGGAAAATGGGGGAACATCTGTAATACTCTCAACAATAACGATTTAAAGAAAAATAAAAGCAGAAAAAGACAAAAACAAATGGAAAATGCTGAGTTTCCATAACTTTGAGTTTGGCCAGGAAATGGTGCTTTGAAATCCTATTCATTCACTCAGCACCTGTTCCTCACAAACTTACTGAGTGCTAGAGGGTGAGAAGTCCCAGGAAGGCAGGTATCCTCCGGCAGTAGCACTCGGATGGGGACAGTGGAAAGAATCGTGTAACCACGCTCAATGTTAAGTTCTGTGAGAGAAAGACCAGGGGATCTGAGAGGCAGGAAGAGTATGTGCAAAGGCGCCTGGACTAGGCATCTCATTAGTTGGGCCAGAGATTGCAACACGTGGTAGGAGGTTAGAGGGGAGAGGGCTCGGTCACGAGGAGTACAGGACAGGCCAGGTTAGGGTTACCTGTGGGACACGAGGCCTCACAGTCCAGTCTCAGTGGTGGAGTCAGGGGGAGAGGAAAGCTGAAGACTCTCGACAGGTAGACAGGCAGCTGACATTGGAAGCTGTGGTGCCAGTGAGCCCACCTGCGGGGAGAGGAAGGACAGGTAGGATCCTGCACCGGGAGCCTGAGGCCGGCCCACATGCCCTGCTCTGACTGACTTCTCTTCCAATCCTCAGGGGATGGAGCCACGGCCCACCTGGAAACAGGTGGGTTCATCAGGAGCCGGCCTGGGGTCTCCCACCCAGACATCCAGTTCCACTTCCTGCCGTCCCAAGTGATTGACCACGGGCGTGTCCCCACCCAGGAGGAGGCTTACCAGGTGAGCAGACAGTCTCATCTTTTCCATCTTCCCCCACTGCAGCAGGGCCTTCAGGGTGGGGACTGCACAAGCCTGTGCCCCTGCAGCTGCTCAGTACGTCTCAGCTTAGGGCAGATGCTCTTGGTACTGAGCACTAGCAATGGACCAATGGCACCAACTCTGCCCAGGGCTTGCCAGCTCCTGAAAATTTTGGCCATTCAGTTATAGAGGCAGGAGTGATTCATCAAGGTGGTTTTTAATCACTGTGGAGGGTGGGCAGGTAAGATGCAGGCAGATGCTAAAATATAGCTGCTTTTAATGGACTTTGGCTATAGAGGCCCACCCACAGGAAACCTGGGACCTCTCTAAACGGAGTTGGGGGGCTGATGGAAGTGACTGCTCCCTCTGGATTCACCTAGGTGCATGTGGGGACCATGCGGGGCACGAGTGTGGGCTGGCTCAAACTGCGAAGTGCCAACCCCCAGGACCACCCTGTGCTGCAACCCAACTACTTGTCCACAGGTAACTCCCCAGCCACCTCTGTGTGCCCCAGGCCTGCGCCTGCTGGTCACTGACTGAACGACTGCTTTTATGGGTTTGTTCCTGAACCACATTTTCTGAGACACAAGTCACTCTCTGTCTTCCCTCCGCCCCATCATTCTAGTCTGTACACTTGCACACGCTGCTGTGTGGTGCCCGGGGCCCCTTGAAGTAACCACATGAGGAGAGATGTGCAGCTTTCAAAGCAACTTACCGGAGGTTCAAGGCGGCGGCCTGGCTGTGTACACACAGCTCACAGAGCACTTTTCCTGCTGTGACTGAACATCCTTTAAAAGCGAATTCTATTCCCCGGCCTGCCTCTCTGCACACAGCAACAATGAGCGCTCCCCCTCCGGCAGGTTCTGCCCAGTAATAACGTGTGGGGCCCTCACAGCCACGCGGTGGCAGAGGCAAGGTGTGAGGTCTGATTCCTAACGTGCAGATCAAATCCAGATCCCCATTCACACCCGGGGCCTCTGAGGCAAGCTGTGTCTGTCTCGCATGCTCTCTGTTTGGGCTTCATGGGACTCTGCTCGGTTGCACGTCACCGCCTGTGGGTAGGGCAGGAACTGGATAGGCCCCACGCAGCCTGGTGGCCGGGACCTCCGCGTCCTGACAGGTCTCCCCTCAGGCAGCTGATGAGCCTTTCCCAGCCCAGAGTCTGCCTGCAAGGCCAGCATGCTCAGAGGACGCTCACCTGTGTCTTCTCCTCCACAGAAGCCGACATTCACGATTTCCGTAATTGTGTGAAGCTGACCAGAGAAATTTTTGCCCAGGAAGCCCTGGCACCGTTCCGGGGAAAAGAGCTCCAGCCAGGAAGCCACGTGCAGTCCGATGAAGAGATAGACGCCTTTGTGCGGGCAAAAGCGGACAGCGCCTACCACCCCTCGTGCACCTGCAAGATGGGCCAGCCCTCCGACCCCACCGCCGTGGTGGATCCGCAGACCAGGGTGATTGGGGTGGAAAACCTCAGGGTGGTCGACGCATCCATCATGCCCAGCGTGGTCAGCGGCAACCTGAACGCCCCCACGATCATGATCGCAGAGAAAGCAGCTGACATCATCAGGGGGCGGCCTGCACTCTGCGACAAGGACGTCCCTGTGTACAAACCCAGGACCCTGGCCACCCAGCGTTGAGGCAGTCGCTGCCTGAGAAGCCCCCCAACCAGCCAAGAGAGCCCTTGCTCCAAATGCTCTTTCCTGAAACTCTCTAGAATGTTAGGGTTCAATGGCAGAGAACTGGACAATTTCTTAAGAAGTGAGACCAGTCCGGTCAGTGAGCCAGGCTCCTCTCCCCATGCCTGGTGCTGTGGGCCTTTGGGGAAAGGCCAGCATTCTGGCAGGAGGCCCACGGAAGACTCGGCTCCTACCTGGGTCCCCTCCAACCTGGGGGCCTGCTGCCTTCCTCCTTCCTGGTGGGGCTGGAGGAATGTGTCCTCTCCCAGGCCCCTCAGAGAGCAGGCTCTGTGCAGAGGCTGGGTGCTGCCTGCTCCAAGGGGGCACCCCCACCTTGGGCTGAGCTGTGGCTGAGACCAGGAGGCCTGCCGACGTTGGGGGGTGCAGCCGGGACTTGTGCCTAAGCCTGCAGTGCCTGTTCAGAGGGAGCGCTGCCTGCGGGGTGGGGTGAGGGACAGCACCAGCCTCTCCACTCTCCTCGGCTCCCTGATCTCACCCCCAGAGGGAGGCATGAGCTGGTGCTCAGAGGGGCCGGCAGCCCCCTGCCTGGTTCCTACTGCACACAGTCAGCCTGACGAGAGGATTTCTGGGTCTTGTTCAAGGAGAGAAGTGTCTGCAAAGACCCCTTGCCACTACAGGTTTCACGACTTTGCATTTTAGACGAGTTTCTTGTTACCAGGAAACCTGGAACCCAGAGCAAACCCCACATACCAGACCTCGCTCCATGCCAGGCCGTGAAGACACTTTCCCCCGGCGCTGGGCAAGGCCGGCTCATTCTCATTCTCCAGGTGTCCGTGGGAACAGAGCAGAACGGCCTGCGATGGACCGCAAAGGCGGTCAGTAAAACTATGCGGCCTGGTCCTGCAAAAATGCGATTGAGAGAGAAAAGGAAATGGTCAGATTTGAGTTTGGGGTGGTGGAAGAAACCAGATACAGGCAGCATTGAAAGCAGTCCTTTGATCTTTAAATTTCTCCTAATTCAATAATGTAATCCAATAATTTATTTTGAACTGAGATATCTTTTCCAGACTGTTCTTACAAGGTAATAAACTAAATGCATTTTGGATTGATTGTTTTTAAAGTTATTCGAAGCCACAGTCTGTGGCAGGTAACGAAAGAATTGCTATGTGGACGTCTGCCATGCTGGGCCCAGAATGAGGGAGGGAAACGGGACATTCCGGCTTCTCCCAGGACCAGAGTGGACGGAGGTGGCTTGGAGGCCTGACAGGCACACGTGTGTTTCTGAGAAAGACCTTCCAGAAAGGCAGGAGGAAGAAAACCCCCTCTCCTTCCGTTAAGTCATACCTGCGTCCTGCTTTATTTTCTGTTCCACGCAAGGGTCAGGGAAGAAAATTCTACATCTGCCACGAGATTTCTCCTAGAGAGGCTGCCGCTGTGGCTGGGGCTGCCATCCTCGGGGTCTGGGAGCCACCTGCAGGGCGAAGGAGCAGCAGGAGCGCGGGTGCGGGTGCCAGCCCACTGCTCCGAAGGCCAAGAAGAAGTTAGGTGCGTGGGGTCCGGGTGACGGCACTGACCTCGGTGCTGGTATGGCAGGTGCACGGCCATTCAGTTCTGCCATTGTGTCCTGGGGATGGTCCCGTCTCCAAGACAGTGGCTTGTTGCTACTGTGGCTGTGCTGTAAGTTAAGCAAATAACACATCCGCGGCCCCCTTCCCACTCTTGCATTCGGGGCCTTGTTCCTACGATCACACAGTTTAGCCACCACAGAAATAAGTTTCAAAAGAGAAGACAGAGTCACATGTCAGAAACCCACAGAGGTTCAGACCGGGGATGGAATATTCTGACTCAGAGCAGCGTCCCCTGGGTCCCGACAGCCGAGCGCTGTGGCCGTCGGGGCAGAGTGAGCAGCGGCCACGTCACAACCACCAGGCTGCCTGCAAGTTCCACTGCCACGGGGACCCTGCCGCCTGAGGGAAGGCTGTTGCCTGAGGAAGCCAGGGGGGCAGAAGGTGCCGACCAGAGGTGGGGCGAGGAGCCAGCCAGGCTGCTGCAGAGGCTGGGCCGCAGTGAGCCCCCAGGACTGCCCCTCAGTCTCGCCTGCCCCCCAAAGTTCCCAGGAGACAAGGCATATCATTTTAGAGAAATAAAGGCTTTTTAACAAAGACAGCATAGCTGGAGTCTGTTTTGAGTGGGGGTAGACTGCCCATTAAATCCCTGAGAAAAAGCCTGCAGTAGCTAAAAAAAAAATGAATGTAATTGACAAAAAATGGTTTAAAAGCATAAAAGCTGCATTTGTGTCCAGGGTCCAGGCTCTGAGGAGCGCTGACCCCTCTGAAGAAGCCTGTGGTTAGGCCGATGAATCAGCAGACGGTCTCCCTGACCGAACGAGGGCTGACACGCAGGTAGGAGCAGCTGCCCGGGGAACGACCTCCTTTTCCCAGCGCACCAGCAAGAACCGGCATTTCCCCACATTCAGGCAGATTCTCCTCTCCAGCCAAACCACGTCCCTCCACCCACAGGTCACTTCCCATTTCCACTGATCAACTCAACATCAGATCTAACACCCAGATCCGTTTCTCTTAAAAATCAGGGGAAAAACCACACAACCTCTTCACTGGCCGGTCTCGAGACCCAGGCAGTCCTCTCATTTCATCGCCTGTCACCGTCCTCAAGACCACGCTCCGCTTGGTCCCATGGTGGAAGCGAGGGCCCCAGGCTTGCTCCTCAGTCTCGCCTGCCCTCAGAGTCCCCAGGCGACGAGACATATCATTGTAGAGAAGTAAAAACGTTTCCACAAACGAAAGCGTAGCTGGAGTCTGTGCTGAGCTGGGTCGTCGCGTAAAGGAGCCGGAGCTGCGCGTGACTAATTTTTGGAACAAATTGACCGCCCGTCATAACAACAAAAACCTTTGTAGGAAAGCAGATGATTGGCAAAGACACTTACTCGCATGGTGTAGCCTATTAAAGCAACAGCAACATGAAATAAGCGGCCCTGGTTTCTTTCACCTGCACAGGGTCAGCAATAAATGCGGCTTGTCCAGCAGGTCAAGCCCACACTGTGCACCGAGGCGCTTCCTGGCCTGCACCACCCACCCTTCCTGGCCTTGGGCTAACGCCGCCACATCTTGGAATCGACCTGGGAAGCACCATCCGGCCAAGTCTGGATGGAAACCACAGAGACAGTTGTCAACGAGGCTCCTGCTTGCTGATAGTTACGTCAGAGCTGCCATTCCCACTTTGTGATACTATGAAAAACACAGGTTAAAGAAACTAAAGACTACTCCTGGGGACACAGCAAAGTGACATTTTTTTTTAGGGGACGGAAGGGGAACCAAAAGAAAAGACTTTTAATCATAAAACTTTCCTAAAACAAAGGGGAAAAAAAAAACATGCTCTACAACTTCAAATTTTTCTTACAAAGAAAAATTTAATGTTAGGTGAGAGGTTGAACCAGGCTTAAAGCAGACAGAGATTAGGAGTGGTGCAGCGCATAAAAATGCCCATTTTTAAGTACTGACTGGAAAACATCATTGCCTATCCCAGAAGAGTCAGTCCTGGTAGGCAATGCTGGACCGGTGATGGTAAGCCACACAATAAGACCAATACCTAAGAGAGAAACAGAGTCCGAGGAGGTGGTAACAGTGGTTTAGCCCTTTAGGAGAAACAGTGCTCTCTGCAGCTGGTATCAAGTTACCATAGGCATCGACGGAGCTACGAGAGTAAGAAAAAAATCTACACAATTACAGAACTGCCCTCACAGAGTGCCCGCCCCTTCCAAGCTCTCACTGGCAAACGCCAGCTCTTTGCAAGGAGAGCTCCCAAATACAATAAAATTATTACGCAATTTTCTTCTGAAGAACATTTTACATTTAATAAAAAAAGGATTTACGTCAAGAAATAATCATTTACAAACCTTGAAGAGTTTTTGCCTGGATCTGGAGTAAGAATGCCTTAAGAAGAGGTTTGTAAGGTCTTCATAACAAAGTATTGTTATTTACAAAAAAAAGAAAACATTAACAGGATGTCTATTTAATATTTAAAAATTTTGAACCCAAAAATTGCTACCTGTTTTTTTTTTTTTTTGACTGCAGAGAATCCCTGCCAAGGTAACTTGACAAAGTCAGCATTATGCCGTGAACAGAAAAGGAAGCCTTGCCGGGTCTAACGATCCCAAAGTGGGTTTTCTCGGGAAGTACAATCGCAGGGGGAGTGCATTCTAGTGAAAACGTCAGCCCTCATTCAGTTGCATATAAAAGCCCTCGGAGAGAACACACAGTACAGCAATGTTTTGTAAAAAGGCAACGATACTATTTGTCCGGACCCCGATCTTCTAACCCTCTAAGGATCGCGTCACTTTGCTTCCTTCACCCCCCGCCCCCAGCATTCCTCACTAGTATTTCCTAAGACAAGCAGCCTCACCTCTCCCAGGGGACACGAGCAGAGGGACTTCATTCACCTGTAAGAACGTTCTGTGTGGGCAGGTGAGAAAACCCACCACGAGGAATGCCACGGGGTCAGTCTTGTCCTGAACTTACGGGGAAGGGGGTTACAGTAAAACCGCCCGTGGTGGAGCAAAAGGTACCCTCTCAAGTCACAGCACTCTTGCCCAGGGAGAAGACTGCAAAGAGTCATCGGGAGTATCTTATAGGGACTCAAAATACTTTAGAAAAATCTATCTAGTGTCAAGTTCTTTTGAACTTAAAATTTCACCCCCAAAAAGATTTTTCACTGAATAAATGAGAATTGGCTCAATTTCTCCTACTTCCGTGTAGTCCGAGTAAAAATACCAATGATTTCTAGATTTCAGTGGGGGGAACTACAATTATTAGGACCCATGGATATTGCTGCAGTTCAAATACGATACAATAATTACAAAATATAGACCATCTCTTTACAAATACAAATTATCGTATATTACAAGTCATGTACAGTAAGTCTAAGTTTTAAACAAACTAGCGTATCTAAGTTGACCTGGCTGCGAGTGCATTAGGATTCCAGTTTACGGCTGCCCTTGGCCTGACAGTCAGAAACCGACCATCTGCGCGGCGCGCTCCCGTGCAAACTGGTGTCACGGAACGGAAAACCTTGCCTGTGAGGTCCTGCTTCCCTCTGCAGAGGACGGCTGGTGGGTAGCCCTGACTGACTGTGTTTCAGAACAGGAGCCAGGAAGCAGGGTGTCTGGGAGGGAGATGCTGGGCCCAGTGAATGTCTGATATGCTAGACCGATGGCTGAGGTAATGACACAGGCACGGTGATCGTCATCACCTTTAACCTTCCCCACCGCGCCTGTGGGCGGTGGGCACGGGCAAGTGCCCCGCGTGGGCTGTGAACAAGAGGGCAGGCTTGCCCGGCGCCCGTCCTCCGTGCACGGGCGGGACCTGCTGTCCCCGCAGCTGGGGCTCAGCTCTGAGCACAGCTGTTCCCTACAGGTTTATGGCTTCCTTGAGGCATGACATCACCTGCACGAAAGTCTAATTGAACACGGACTTCACACTAGTGCCTAAACTTTCCTAACTATGAGGCACTTTTTCCCTGGCCCTCGGGCACCCCACCTGAGGGCAGAGCTAGTCCGCCCCCCCACTGGGGGCTACAGGGTGGTGATGCAGATCATTTCATCTGCTAGGTCCTCCTCCTCCCTCCCCAGGTCTGGCTCTTCGTCGCTGTAACCTGGCCCGAAGTCCTGGAGCTCGTAGTCCTGGCGGCTCGAGTCGGGGCTCACGTCCCCGTTAGCCCCGGGGTGCACGGTCCCGTTCAGCAGGTGGCTGGCTGCACTCTCCATCTCGTCGATGGTTAGGTCACAGGCATCGGCAATTTCGTGTTTTGTCGCCGACACAAATTTTGGGTCCCTTGCATACCGTCCTAAGCCTTCGGATATCAGGACCTGCGCAGGGAAGAGGATCGACGGCATGAATGGGCTGTAAAGCTCTGCGGGGGGACAAGGACAGAAAACCCACCTCAAGCACAAATGCACCTCGCGGCCAGCCGTGTTCGCCAGATCTCGTGGACATGGCTTTGGCTTTGAAATATCACGAAGCTCAGAAACTATACAATTCAGTGGTTCTCAACCTTCTGGCCCTTTAAATACAGTTCCTCATGTTGTGACCCAACCATAAAATTATTTTCGTCGCTACTTCATAACTGTAATGTTGCTACTGTTATGAATCGTAATGCAAATATCTGATATGCAGGATGGTCTTAGGCGACCCCTGTGAAAGGGTCGTTCGACCACCAAAGGGGTCGCGACCCACAGGTTGAGAACCACTGCTATACATAGCCCAACAAGAATGAAACCCACTGGGGAAGACAAGACTCTCTTAGTGTCAACGGGTAACAGTCGCAGGAACAGCACGTGACCCCAGGGACAGCTGTTGATGAGGCTCGGCAGTGACTAGTGGGTCTACCAGTGATGGCGAACCTATGACGCGTGTCAGAGGTGACACGCAAACTCATTTTTTTGGTTGATTTTTCTGTTAAGTGGCATTTAAATATATAAAATAAATATCAAAAATATAAATCTTTGTTTTACTATGGTTGCAAATATCAAAAAATTTCTATCTGTGACACGGCACCAGAGTTAAGTGAGGGTTTTTCAAAATGCTGACACGCCGAGCTCAAAAGGTTCGCCATCACTGGTCTATACTCATGCTGTCGGCACCATCCTTGCTGCTAAGAAATGGTGGAGCCAGATCAGAAGCGAGGTAGCCCGGCTCCAGACCCTCCCGCCCTCGGCCCTCTGCCCACCGCCCGCTCCTGCTCTGAGTGGTTCTCAGGACGCCACCCCGGCTGTGCCTGTCCCAGGCCGGCCCTCCCTGGGCAGCGGGTGAGCTACACTCACGGCCTCCACCAGGCTGTCCGCGCTCCTCTGCTTGTCGCTGTTTTTGCTGTGGAAGCTGCTGGGGACCGTCAGGCTGGCTGGTGTGAAAGTCCGGTAGGAGATTCCAGGCTCGTCCGTGTACCAGGAGCTGCGGTGCAGGGAGGGCAGGCTGCCGTTGACCTGGTCCAGGACCTCTGACGGCTCCACCTGGATCAGGGGGGTGTAGCACGGCGCCCAGTCCCGATACGGAGGGGTCGCTGGAGGGGTGGCCCACGAGCGGGTCGAGTGGCTCGGCGAGTACTTCTGGGCTCTGCTTGAATCTAGGCCTGCGACTGCCATGACCTGAGGAGACAGGGAGCGGGGAGACGGGGTCCTCAGCGGCCTGGGCTCGGGCCTCGCACCTCGGCCCTGCACGAGGCACTGCTCTGGGGGCAGCCCCGGCCAGGACCGTGAAAGCGCGCCGAGTCAATCACGTGATCGGCAGTGGGAAGTGGGCTTTCCAACAGACTATATTTTCTTTTCCCCAAATCCATTTCCTATGACTGTTCCCAAGAAAAACTGAAATTGTTTCAGAACGACAAAGCATCAGGGAAGACATACAAGCCAGGCATGTGAACATGGCAGCCAGGCACTTGGTTGAAACGTGGAAGTACATTCAGGGCAAGCGCGCAGGGATGCCCAGCTGTTCTCTGCTCTAGCGCACGTGCGCACGGCGGCCCCTGCCTGCTCTGAAGCCCCGGGCACAGGCCTTGCTTCTCCACCTCTGTGGCACCACGGCTCTGCACAGGGCACCCCAGCTCTGCACAGGGGAACCCAGCCCAATCTCATGGGCAGCACAGGCCCTTGGCCTCACGGAAGCCATGCCCACCAGGGAGCCGTGCAGACAGCAGCTGGGCCTGCCGGGGGCTCAGGGAGGGAAGGCATCCTGGCATTCGATGGCCTGGGCCTTCCCAGGCTTGTCCTTCGTCCCGGACAAAGCAGGACACAGATCAAAATGAACGTACACACTGAGGACAAAGGAGTACGGAGCGGCAGAGAGACGCAAATAGACGATTGGAAATGTCAGCTACCGATCATGTGCTCCGGACACTCAGGATGGGAAACCTGCCCGAGCGCTGGCTCCGCACATTCACAGAGCGGACGCCTGACCAGGTAACCCCTCCGCCTGCACCCCCCTCCCCCCCTCGCACAGTGGACAGCATCTCTGATGTGCTCTTTCAGAAAGAAGTCCATGTCCTTGAGGCAAAGCCCTGGTGAGCGGTTCCGGCCCCCGCTCCCTCCTGTCCAGCACTCTCACTGTGGAGGGGTCCTTCTCCCTGGGCCACGCTCCCCTCGCAGGCAGGGTTGGGGGCTCACCCACCCCGTGAGCACAGAACCCTGCCCACAGAGGGCTCCATAAATGAAGGAAGAACCTCTCAGAGCAAATAAGGGGCACTGCTGGCTGTTCAGGGTGGTCTAGTGGCCGCCACTCCCCGCCTTGTGAGCTGTACCCAGGCCCTGTCTTCATCGCTGAGGGAGACGTGGGGAGAAGTCGGTGCCTAGACAGAGAGCCCAGCTTGGCAGGTGGCAGCCTTGGACTCAAATGCCAGCGTGGTCACTCACCTCCTGTGGGGGCTCAGGCACTCACCTACCCTCAGTTATGTTTTCTCATCCATGTGATGGGGTTGGTGACAGTGTCTATTCGCAGGGCTGTCACACAATGGAACCCAGTGTATGGGAGGGTTCTCTCCCTCCCCCTGGGGCTGGCAGCCAAGAGGAAGGGGGTGTCTGAGGGGGTCCCACACAGGGTGCCCATGGAGCCATCGGGGCAAGGCCCGGGGGCCGGCTCACCTGTTGCTGCATCAGGTGCAGAGGCAGGGCCGTGCGGTGGGGAAAGGTGGGGGACGGCGGGACCTCCTCCTGGCTGCTCTGCCGGCGCAGGCACTCGAAGTTGAAGGAGGATCTCCGATGCGCTGAGGGGGAAGCACAGGAGCAGCTGTGGAACCAGCTCTCCGGCAGGACCAGGGCCAGGAGTCCCGGTGGCCACCGAGGCCAGCGGGGAGCCCCGGAGACAGCAAGCGATGGAGGGAGGATGAGGAAGAAGCCCACTGAGGTGTTTTAAGTGCAAGCTGTTCTGCCACAGCCCCTGCCCTACATGTGGTGGGGACCAGGCATCGCAGGCAAGAGCACAGCCTTGCTCTGGAACCCATGGCCCCTGCCGACCGCCCCGCTCACTCCCACCTCCAGGCTCCCTAAGCGTCTCTGGGCCTGAGGTACCTCCGGGTGCTCCTGCGTTCACACCTCTGCCTTAAAGGGAGGGACTTGCTACCTATCGGCTCAGCCAGGCAAGGAGAAGAGCCTCTTGCTGGGGAAGAGCCAGCTTCTCCAGCACTGAGGACAAGACAAAAGAACAACTCGAACTTTAAAGAACGTGCTTGTCGCTTTGAATAGAGGCTGATGCACAGGGTGAGCGATGGCAAGAGATCCAGAGCTTGCAGCTTCGTGGGGTGCCGGCACAGGAGAGCCATGTGGTCCAGGGTCCCCCAGCACAGGCCACAGGCCTCCCCCGGGAAACCGCCACGGGAAGGGGAGGCGTTTCAGGAACCCACCTGGTCCCCCGAGACAGTGGGTGGCCTGGTCTCCTCAGCAGCTCCTTTTCTGACCTCTGCTTCCTGAGCTCACAGGGCCTGCTCAAAACGCCACCCCCTAATTCCTGAATTGGAAACTGCAGACACCAGCTGGTTCTGTGAGGCCCTGCCCCCCAGTGCGTGAAGCCCAGAGGAACAAGGCAGAGGGCCCTGCGGGGCGTGCTGGGGCCTCCTCGTGGGACAGCCGCCCTCCACGCACCACGGGGACCGATTTCACAGTGTTCTAAGGAGGAAGGCTGTCTGATCCTTAGTCCTAGGATCAGATGGGGGGGAAGTGGGGTGTGGAAACTCAGGGCCAGGAAAGGAAAACCACACCCCTCTCCCTGAGAGTGCCTTTCGGTTTTGAAAAGGGGTCCACACACCCCCACTTCATCTCCTCTGGTCACACCCATCTCTGCTGGAGGAAGTCACCCTTCTGAGGCTGAGAACATCGGCTGGGGAGCTCCATGCTCTCCCCGCCCAAGCTCTGAACCTGCAGGCAGTAAAGCAAATAAAATACATTTTCTTTATTTGCCCTTGCAAATACAGAGGGCAGCTGCTCGTGTCCACTCAGTTCCTCACGTCCGAGGGGCAGCATCTGTGCATGGCGGGCATTAACGCAGCCGCCAAAGGGAGGGCCCGGGAAGGCCATGGACTCACAGGCACGGGCCTCCACCCAGCTCACTGCATTTGCGTCATCCAGTATTTATGGAGGCCAGAAGTGCTGTGTGTTCAGGGTGCGAAATTAAATATTAACCATGGAAATGGGTCTGATTGCACGCCCAGCAGGGGTGTGGGCGCTGGAGAGAGAGGGCCCCGGCGCCACCCAGCCATGGTCGGTATTGTGTGTGCAGTCGGCAGACTGGGAGCCGATGTGTCTTGGCTATTTTTTGGTTACTGATTAAAGTCCTGTTCAACAATATGCTTCACTCCTTAGAAACACCAGAAGTGGATATTTAACCATCGTCCAAATGCCCACATGTCCAAAGTCAAACTGCCCAGCCGGGAGCTGGCAGGGCCGCTGCTGCCGGAGCTCCTCCCGGGGGTGACCCAGATCTCCGGGCAGCGCCAGTTATGCCCCCTGCACAGGAAAACCCGGGGGGGGGGGCCCCTAACTGGTTTGGCTCAGTGGATGGAGCATCGGCCTGCGGACTGAAGGGTCCCAGGTTCGATTCCGGTCAAGGGCATGTACCTTGGTTGCGGGCACATACCCAGTAGGGAGTGTGCAGGAGGCAGCTGATCAATGTTTCTCTCTCATCGATGTTTCTGGCTCTCTATCTCTCTCCCTTCCTCTCTGTAAAAAATCAATAAAAACAAAACAAAAAAAACCCGGTGGGGCAGCAGCCAGCCCCTGCCCTTGCTCAGTGGGAGGGGATTCCCAGGCCCCACGATGGGAGCCTACCCTAGAGCTCACCACCCAGACCAAAACCTGCCCCATGGACAGAGGGCCTTGGCAGACCAGAGGCAAAGGCAAGAGGGAGGAGGGCGAAAAGGGGAGAAAGGAGACACCCTGGTGTGGCCTGAGGAGGCGGACACCAGGAACCCCAGGCACCCGGCACCCAGAGGCGTGGGCACAACAGACCTGCGCTCAGTCTAGCTCCATCCCTCCGCCCTGAGGGTGGTGACCCGACCCCCAGAGTGGCTCTGATAACAGCAGGGGTGCACATCTTGCCCACTGAGGGTGGGTCCCCAGCTCAAAGGCAAGGAAAACATGCAGAACAGCCCCTACAGGCCCTCCACGCTGGGCCACGCCAGGCCGCACGCCGTCTCCTCTGCTCCCGGAGTCAGAGCAGCGCGGACGTGGTCTGAGCTCTAACACACGGGGCACGCTGAGACAGGAGAGCCGATAGGGTCTCCAACCAGGGCCTGGCCTGGAGACTCAGGTCCCCGACATGGCAGCTCCTCATCCATCACCACCTTCCCCCAACCCCCGGGGCCGGGGGAGAGGCACATGGTCTCTGGGAGGCTTCACCCCAAACAAAAAATCTGGCCTCACATGTTGGGGTGGGAGGTAGTAGGCGTCTCCTCGGAGATCTGTGGGAATCGTAGCAAATGGGCGAGTCGTCGTCTTCCAGGAAGCCTTGCGGGTGGTGGTAGCCCCGGGGCCGCTCGAAATCCAAGCTGCTGCCTGGGTGTCGGCTGTAGTAGCTGTAGTTTTGCCTGGTGGTCAAAAGGGCAAGAGGGAGAGAAAGGGGCATGTGAGCTCCCAGTTAACAGCTTCCCATTAGCTCAGACCCCCGCCCCGGCCCACCCCTCTACAGTCCTCTCCCCACAGCAGGACCAGCTGCGAACAAGGCAGCCCTCAGCTTCACAGAAGATTCTAGAATCTAGATGGAGGACAAGGGCTGGTCCAGGAAGGCAGGCCTATGATGAATGGGGTGCTGGTGGTGTCCCCCAGGCCAGGGCAGCCTCAGGCCCGGGGCAGAGGTGGATTGCAGCTTTCCTGCAAGCTCGCGATCGCCTGCTCACTTCCTCCCCTAGAAGCCCTCCGAGCGCCTGCCCTCAGCCAGGTGCTGGGCTGGGAACCAGGACACGAAGATGCATGAAGCACGGTCCCTCCCCTCAGGAGCTGAGCTGATGCCACATGCACGACGTCTGGTGCAGACGGAAAAGGCCAGCGCCGGAGGAGAGGGGCCAGGTGGGCTGTGCTTTGGAGTGTGGGCACCTCAATGTCATTAAGGGAAGAAGCGGAGCCCTGGAGCAGGTCCTTGAAGGGAGGGTGGGACTAGGCCAGCCGAGTGGGAAAGGCGGCCAAGTGGTGGGCGTGGGGTGCAAGCGCAGTGACCAGGGAGGTCGGGCCCACTTGGTCAGGATCAGTGGTTCTGGAAGTGGGGCTGGCGGGAGGGACTGGGGGAGGGGAGGGGGCGGGAGGAACCGGGGGATGGGGGGCAGGGGGCGCGAGGGTCCAGCCATGGCTGCTGGGGTACAAGGCTAACAGTTAGAACAGCTCCGACACCAGAAGGGACCTCAGGCAGTACCACGTCCGCTCAGTGGGCCCCTGGTCCTGGTGAGATGCAATTCACAGAGAAGAGGATAGCAGGTGGCCTTGTCCCCCTGTGCTGCCCACGATGTGTCCTAAAGCAAGTGTCCCCTTTAACCTCAGACATTCTTCCTTTAGGACAGAAGCCCCGAGAGGCAGCTCTGCTGAGCGACCCCTCGATGAGAGTGGGGAACAGGAGCTGTTCATTATGACCCACCCTCCCACCCTGGCCCCAAGCGATGGGCTGGCAGAGCTGCTCGGCAGACAGAGCCCTGGCTCAGCGTGGGCGGCGCTCACGAAGTAACAGGCCTCTCAGCAGACAAGGAACGGATGAAGGCTGACCCTGCACGCCAGGCCCAGCTCTCATGTCTGGACCTTCGCTGAAGGGCCCACAGGTCCTGGGGGAAATGGTCACAGCCCGGGAGGACGGTCTCCACTCGGCCTCCCTCTGGCCCCGTTTCCCCTGCTCAGCTTTTCCTCTGGCCTGGAGCCTGTGGTCCTGTGCAGCTGAAGGTGGCCCGGGGCGTCAGCAACAGGCAGAGCACCAAGGAGAGGCAGCAGTCAGGCCTTCTGACGTCGGCCGAGCCCCGAGCCCTCACCTGCTGGAGGTGGGTGAGCTGTCCTCCTCATAGTCCTCCTCACCGCTGAAGTACTCGGGCTCCCCCAAGCAGCGGGGGTCCCTGAAGTAGCCCTGGACCTCTGGGTCTTCCCGGCAAATAGTGGGGAACTGCTCATCTCCTGAGTCGGACCTGCGTTTGGGAGAGAGGACTTCAGCACCTGGGCAGGTGGCAGCCACGCCCTGCAGCTGTGCCTCCACGTGCAGCCAGCATCCTGCCCACGCGCACCTGGCTTCTCCCTGAGCACACCTGCCTCAACCAGGACTGGGCTAAGGCCACTGGCAACAGCGCAGCGTGTGTGTGTGTGTGTGTGTGTGTGTGTGTGTGTGTGTACACGCACCAGAAGTTTCTCTCTCAGTACCTTGCATAACGCTGGTGCCAGACCACAATGACTAGGGGCTAGGGGCCTTGGGGCCAAGGAGTAGATCTAATTTGGGGAACAGAGCAAGAAAATGGCCCTCGAGACCAGCAGTCCCAGGGAAAAGATGGCTCCCAGGCCATCTGTCTGATCCCCGCTCCTTCCTACCTGGGCCCCGTGCGACTTCAGAGCCTGGGACAAAGAGACTCCCTGGCCACCCACTTCCTGCTGCATCCGACCCACACAGGTGACGGGAGTTCTGGATACAGTGTCCCAGGGGAGACTCTCATGCATGATGTCCGCCAAGTTTTCCAAGCCTGCCCGCTGCCCCGAGCTGTCCTCATGCTTCCCTGAAGCCTAGCCTTGCGGGCCTGGGTCCTCAGTAAACCAGCCGCGCCGTGACACGGCTTCCCTCCAGGGAGAGGCCCGTGCTCCCTCTGAGTGCTGTGTGCTGTACCCTCTCCCTGGCCTCAGGCCCAAGATCCCACTTGTTAAACCAGCAGACCTACTCTCCCATCACCAGCAAAACCACCAACCCACCCACTCTCACCCGCCTCCCACCCGCTCAGCGGACATGGAGCAGGTGACACTGCACGTGTTGAGGGCTGCGTGGGAGGCAAAGGAGCAAACCTGGCCCCTGGTCTCTAGGAGGCCGGGTCATGCTTTCACCAACACCCCACCGGAGGCTTGACCCCAGAAAGCAGCAGCCATTGCCCACGTCACAGGCCCGGGCACCGGTGCACAGTGGCTCTCCCTGTGCCGTCCATCCCCAAGGTCTTCAGGGTCTGGTCTGTGGGCACCTGGCACGTGAATGCCAGTCCTTGGGTGGTAATGGTCCCAGGGCTGGGAACCTTTTTTCTGCCCAGGGCCATTTGGATATTTATAACATCATTCATGGGCCACATAGAATTATCAACTTAAAAATTAGCCTGCTCTATTTGGTCAAATATTTAATAAACTCATCCCTAATGCCTTGGCAGGGCCAGACCAAATCATTTCACAGGCCTTATATGGCCCTCGGGCCTGACCCCTGGTATGTGGCAGAAAGAAGCCACTCCCCCCTCCCCCGCCTCCTGAGTGCACAGCCCTGAGCTAAAATATTGCAGGAACTTCTCATCTCTCCGCATTCAAAGAGGCCAACTGGTCACACTTATAACACACAGTATTTCACACATAAACACAGGCAGGGGGCACATACCTAATGTAAGTTTCATAATAGCGGGCTCTATCCAGGAAATGCATAACAAGGGAGGGAGGGGAGGAGGAAGGGAGAAGATAAACATTAAATATGTCCAACAGAATTTAAAATGCAGTTATACCAGGCTACTACCTAGAGCGGGGCTGGCAAACTGTGGGTCACGGGGCAAACACGGCTGCTGCCTGTTTCTGCATGGCCATGACCTAGGGGTGGTTTTTATATTTCTAAACAACTGAAAACCATCAACGGAAGAAAAATATTGCTTCACCTGTGACTCTACGATGTTCACATTTCAGTGTCCAAAATAAAACAAGTTTATCACACCGTCGTGGCTGCTTCCTCACCACAGCCGCGGAGCTGAGTCACCCAATGGACTGCAAGGTGCTCAGAGTCTGACACACACAGCCCTTCCCAGGAAGGGTCTGCCAGCCCAACCCCAAGTCTGCTGGCACAACTGGGGAGGGCGGAGTTTGCGCCTGCTGCCATTTTAAGGAGCGTATCACTCAGCAGGACACAGGATGGCCGGGGCCCGCTGTCCTTCAGTGCCTTCCTGCAGCGAGGCCCCGGAGAGGCCGTGACCTCGTGACCTCGTGGCACTCACAGGTTCCACTGCCCATGTCCACGGGGATCTCCTGCCTGTGCCAGCGCATGGGGGTGGGGGCAGACACAACATCACCACGTGCCAACACATTGTAAAGGTTACCTTTTCCGACTGGACCTTCCTTGAGGCTCATGGTCATGCTTGTGGGAGGAATCATGCCCATTTTCAGACACATGCTCAAGGCTCCCAATGCTGGGCTGCTTTCCCGGGGGCAGCTTTGGACATATTGGCATTATTGAGATTGGCATTGGTTGAGCTGGGAACTTGCTTTCCTATGGAATTATGGTTATGATGGTTATGACACACCGAATTTCCTGCTGGAGGAAACAGCGGTTTCTCAGTATCACTTGCAGGTGGAACTGAAGGCCTTTGGACATGCAGGGGACGGTGGGTGGTATTGGTCTGCTGAAGGGAATCCCTCCTATCACTATTAACATGATTGACATGGTTTCCAAGCAGGGCACCATTTCTCTGCAAAATAATGGGAGAACACACCAGGTAATTTAACAAGCATTTGATGCAGGCTAGCTACGTTAGGTCATTTTTTTCTACATGAAACACAAATTCTAGGTAAGCTCCGGAGGATGCCTGGAGAATGACCTGAGGGCCTCAATGTGTCTGCGTGGGGGCTGGTCCCCCTGAAACGAGGAAGGTTACCGATTCCTGAGCCGAGGAGCAAGCTCTCGGCTGTCACTCGCATGTGCGCTTCCAGTTGCTCCAAGTTGAGGTGACTTATACCCAGCAGGGCTGGCTGGCAGCCCCAGCGAGTGAGGTTGAATGGTAGGCATGCTCCCTGGGCTGGGGATGGGGGGACTGGGAGGCTGAGGGCCCCTGGCAGCTCAAAGAACTGGCCCGGAGAAGAAGGGGGCCGTGTGGGCAGGCAGCTGCCGGAAGCACCCAGATGCTCATCCATTCCAGCCAGTGGCTGTGGCCAAGCTCCTGGGAGCTGCCAGCGCGAGCAGAGAGTGAGCTTGGAGAGGCCAGGCCTGTCTAGAGAGTGCTGTGAGTGAGAGGCTGCTGGGGAGGCATGTCGAAGCCCTATGCCGGTGCTGCATCTCTGGCACTGCTGTGCTCATACTGCCACTGAGCTGCCACTATTCAGCGCTG